GAACCAATGTCGCATAGCTAGAGAAGGATGTAGGTTTGGGACTGGAACCTGTATAGTCAAGTGGTAGATGCCAACCGGTTTTAGAGACTTGAAATGTTGGCCTTTGTGAAATTAATGCTGGAGTGGCAGCATTAATTTTATTTGTTATAAATAAAATTAAACGAGGTTATGGCATGGTCTTAGCTCACCACTGACTGTATAACTTGGACCAAGTCGGTTTTCTCAATCTTTTCCTAGCTGTGAGGTGAGAGATTGGTCTAGGTAATTTCTATGGTCCTATTTAGATCATTTATGGGTCTGTGAGAAAGTGATATAAAATATAAGCTGCCGGATCCGGCCCGCGGGCCATAGTTTGCCCACGGCTGGTCTAGGTAATTTTTTATGGTCCTATTTAGATCATTTATGGGTCTGTGAGAAAGTGATATAAAATATAAGCTATTAGGAATTTTAATCAGCTTCAAATAGACGTTATAGGAGATGCTTATAGGCAGTCTTAACAGTTGTTTCTGTAGAAGAAAAAAATTGGGAACAAGTTTCAGAAATTTGTCATTTTAATAGATGAAGATATTATTGATTTTGTGAAAAGAAATACTAATTTGAAAGAAAACGATCTGGACAAATGACAGAGGTTGCTGGGAAGATTAAGTGCAATGGTGGGTATAAAGGGCTGAGCATAGCAGCTGATGCATCAGTCACAGTGAATTGGTGCTGTTACCCTTGTGAAGCTCGGGGATGCAACAGCACAGGAGCTACGTGGGCCCTGCCCTTAAAACTCACAGTCTAGTAGGGAGGGTGGCATTAAATAAGTGGTGACCAAAAGCATGGTGGGTATTGGGTATAGGATGCAGCAGGGACTTTGGGCTGGGGGGCCTAATCCAGGGTTGGAGGCAGACGGTATCCCTGAGGAAACGATGTCCTGCCTTAGGCGACGGTCTGCTGATCTGTCACCGAGAGTTGGAGTCCTCAGCTTCCTGTTGTGTGTTACTGAAGCATTGGTGTGGGGTTGTTCCGTGCCTCTCCTCCACTAGTCTGTAATTTTTTTTCATCCAAAGCACCTGGCTGGCGCCTGGCTCATATAGGTGTTCAACAAGTCTTTGTTGAATTAATTAGAATAAATAGGTTTTTGTTTTTTTCACATTCAGGATCCTGCTGTCCCCAAAGCAGTTACCTATGTCTAGTTAGCAAGCAACAGTAACATCTGGTGATGCGAATCAGAATTTGACTCCATACTTATATAAACCCTCAAAGGACCTTCCCTTCTGTATCAGAATTTTGGAGTAGAGGATTGGACAAGTAGGCCATGCCTGAGGGAATGCTACTCAGAGAGTTACAGGAACTTGAAATTTAGGATCAATGCTCTTCTAAATCTATACAGCCTGTGGCAACATACTTACTAGGCCAGAACAAAGCCAAATGCACACATGGTATTTAAAGTTCTCACGTGTCAAGTACTGGGACTGCCAGTTATTTATATACTTGATCCTGTTTGAAAGTTCTCCAAATAGAAGGGAGAAATTTGAGAAACGGAACATGCACCAGCCTTGATGGGGTTGCCACTTTCTCAGTGAATGACTTACCTGGGACAAGTTCACGAAAGAACCAGCACGGCCCAGGCATCCTAGCTGTAGTCTTAGTCACTGAAATGAGGCCAAAGAATTTGTTTCTAGCAGGACAAAAGTTGTGCAGCTTTCTCCTACATTCAGTAGCAATAAATGGGTCTATAGTGGAGGCCAGCGTCCATGTGCCCCTCTCAGAGGAATGCAGGAATAGGTCCTTTTGAATATTTTGAGCTTCTTACACCTTCCGGCTCGAGCCCTTTGACCTACACTCAGCTTGTCTACAGCCACACTCAGGGTCCTCCCCACTGGTGCTCCTTCCTAGCTCACCCATGTGTCAGTGATGCCCTCTGGCTCCCATGGTCACACTCTGGGCTCAAACTCAAGCATCTTTCCTTCCTCCTGCCATTTATCACTATGAAACCAGTCACCAGGGCCTGCCAGTTTTTCCTAAGCAAAGTCTCTCAACATTCAGATTTGTCCTTTTCCTCTCCCTGTTGCCAACACTGTAAACCTAGGTCCTTCACCTCTGTTCTGCCACCTTCCTACAGCGGTGCCGCTGATGCCAGAGCCCTGTGCCCAGCACTGCCCGAAGGTGAGATTCCCATATATAATTCCCATATACAAAATTTTTTTAAACTCGGTCTTTTTGTTGTTAAGATTTTAAAAATTGATTTTTAGAGAGAGGAAGGGAGGAGAGAGGAAGAGAGGAAATAGATGTGAAAGCAGAACATCAATCGGCTGCCTCCTGCATGCCCCCTACCGGGGATGGAGCCTGTCCCCTGACTGGTAATCAAACCCAGCAATCCTTAGGTGTATGAGATGATGCCCAACCAAGCCACACCAGCCAGAGCTATCCTCAGATTTTTTCTTTTTCATAAATGAAAATCCTCTGCCAATATTTGTTTTGGCCTTTATAAGAAGGAAGGTGAGATTCCCATATACAAATGGCCTTGACTGGAGGAGGTGAACGAAAAACTAGGAAGTACACAAGGCACTGGGGACCTAATCAATAGGGGGAAACGGATGATCACTGAGACCAGCTGATTTCCATCCGTGTGTTTTGAAAGACCAAGAGTGATCTGAACCAAGAGTGAAATTGAGAAAGTTTGGGGCAGATATAAATGATATTACCAGTGCATTGTGCTGAGAGCTGGAAGCAGAGCCAGGGTAGGTCTCATCCATCGGAAAGATCTCTTGGAACTAAATAAAGACTAATGAGTCCTGGCAGAACATTTAGTTTCCTAACAAAATCAACATATGATGAATGAGATCACCATACACTATATACAAACACATCTTAGACAAAATAGCTCCATGGGTAAAATAAGACTTGAAGTGGTATGAAGTGAGACGCTGATGGCCAACAAAAGCCCCAATCCTTGGTGAGTTGAAGAGGCAGAACTGACAGTGTGTATCCAGCACCTTCCAGCCCACGGGAACTTGAACCTGGAAATGGGGAACAATTTTTATCTCTGTGAGAGCCCCCGGCTAAGAAGAGGCATATTTAATAAGACTTAAAATATCTCAAGGGAGTTTGCCTCTGTTTGCTCTGAATCCGTACCCACAATATCCTTCTGGTAACTCTTGGCTTCTTGCGTGTCTGATTCCCGGAAGGGAGGGGCTCTGGATAAGGGTCATCGTCCCCTAAAGTAAACTGGTGGCTTAGTGTTCTGGGTGATACCATGACTGGCGTGGGTCTAGCCTCAAGAGACAACTCCTGGTACAAGGACCAAATCCGATTATGGAGCCTAGCTTTAGACTGCAGCAAAGCTTACTTCCTTTTTGAGACAAAACAGCTAAATATGGAGTGGTATTTCATTGTGAGTTTGTGGTTTTTATGTTATTTTATTTTTACTCCTCACCTGAGGGTATTTTTCCATTGATTCATAGACAGAGTGGAAGAGGGAAAGACAGAGAGAAATATCCATGTGAGAGAAACACATGGATTGGTTGCCTCCTGCACCACCCCTACTAGGGCCTGGGCCTGGGAGGAGCCTGTAACGAGGTATGTGCCCTTGCCCAGAAACGAACCTGGGACCCTTTGGTCCACAGGCCAATGCTCTATCCACTGAGCCAAACCGGCTAGGGCTTTTAAATATATTTTTATTGATTTCAGAGAGGAAGGGAAAGGTAGAGAGAGACAGAAATGATGAGAGAATCATCGATTGGCTGCCTCCTGCATGCCCCCCACTAGGGATCAAGCTGCAACTGGGCAAGTGCCCTGACCAGGAATCGAACTGTTACCTCCTGGTTCATAGGTCAACCCTCAACCACTGAGCCACACCGGCCTGGCTCATTGTGGGTTTGATTTGCATTTCCTTAATGGCTAGTGATGTTGAGCATCTTTTCATGCGCTTATTGGCCATTTGTGTATCTTCACTGGAGAAATGTTTATTCAAGTCCTTTGCCCGGTTCCAATTGTTTTTTTATTGCTGTTGTTGAGTTTGCTCAACTGATTTTTTAAAAATATGTATTTTATTGATTTCAGAGAGGAAGGGAGAGGGAGAGAAGATAGAAACATCAATGGTGAGAGAGAATCATTGATTGGCTGCCTCCTGCACACCCCCTACTGGGGGTTGAGCCTGCAACCTGGGATGTGCTCTGACGGAGAATAGAACTGTGACCTCCTGCACGCCCCTGGTCGGAGCTCAACCACTGAGCCACACCAGCCGGGCTGCTCAACTGATTTTTGACAAAGGTTCAAAAGCAATCCAATGGAAGAAGGATATCTTTCAAGAGATGGTGCTGGGCATCCATAGACAACAAAACAAAACAAAAACTTGACTCAAATCTCACACCTTCTGCAAAAGTCACATCAAAATAAATCATGAACATAAAACGCTGGCACTTTTAGAAAATTACAGGGAAGTCTTTGGGATCCAAGGCTAGGCAAGGAGTTTTTACACTTGACACCAAAAAAGGAAGAAACTGATCAATTGGACCTAATAAAAATGTAAAAAGTTGTTCCGTGAAGTCCATGCAAAGAGAATTAAAAGACAAGCTACAGACTGGGAAGAAATTTGCAAGCCACATACCCAACAAAAGACTAGTATGTAGAATACATAAAGAATTCTCAAAACTCAACAATTAGAAATTGGGTGAAAAGACATGAACAGACATTTCACCCAAGAGGATATACAGATAGCAGGTAAGCACAATGAGAAAACTGTTCAGTATCATTATCCATCATGAATGTCAGACCACAATGAGATGTCACCACACAGGTATTAGAATGGCTAAAATAAAAAACACTGCAAAGATGCGGAGAAACGAACGCTCATACATTGCTGGTGGGAATGTAAAATGGTACAGCCACTCTTACAGACCAGGTTGGCTGTTTTGTTTTTGCTTTTTTTGTAAAACTAAACATGTGATTACCATACAACTGTACTCCTGGGCATCCCAGAAAAATGAAAACGTAGGTTCACACAGAAACCTGTATATGAATGTTCATATCAGCTTTATTTGTAATAGCCCTCAACTGGAAACAGCCCAGAAGTACTTCTATGGGTGAAAGGTTAGACAAACCTGGGCACATCCATACTATGGAAAACTGCTCAGCAATAAAAAGAAACAAATTATTGATACAACAACTTGAATAAACCTCCAGAGAATTATCCTGAGGGGGGGGGGGGAGTCAATCCCAAAAAGTTACACGCTATATTATTCCACTCACAAAACATTTTGAAATGACAAAATTTTAGAAACTGAGAACAGATTAGCAATCACCAGGGGTTAGGGACTTGGTGAAGGAGGTGGGGAGGGGAGGGAAGTGGGTGTGGCTTTAAAAGCCCAACAGGGGGGATCCTTGTGATTTACGTGTTCAGTGCCTTCTCTTCACTTTGGTGATCAAACTGACATGTGTGATAAAACTGTATGGAACTAAATATGCACACACGTAAATACCCAGACGGGGAAATCTGAGTAAGACAGGTGCATTGTGTCAATGTCAGCATTCTGGTTGTGATACTGTGCTCGAGTGGTCTGGCGCTGCATCTTTGTGCATGTCTATGAGGTGGAAAAGAAGGGAAAAAATGAGATAGTTGAAGATTTTCACATTATAAAGGCCTGGGTATATATTCAGAAAGCTTCCTCGGATCTTCTCTCCTAGAAATTTGTCTCCCACCCTCAGATGGCCTTGAATATAGTAGTGACTTAAATTGGGAAGTGCCTTAAAAAAAAAAAACCACAAGAGTTTTTTTACTATGAAAATAAACCACGTTCGTTATATTTAAACTCCTCTGAAGTGCAAACATGAACACAGCACTGCAGTTCCAACACCAAGATGAAATAACTCTTTCTCACTATTTCTATGCGCCCCTCCCGGTCCTGCTTCTGGGCCCATTTTAAAAAACACAACCTGAGCAATAGCTCACCATCAGGGCATGACCTTTCCCCCACACTTTTCAAAGACAGTCAAGGTGGGGTCGGCCACTTGCTTCACTCACCGTCACAACATGACCTTTCCCCCACATTTTTTCACATTTTTCAAAGACATTCAAGGTGGGGTCGGCCACTTTCTTCACTCACCGTCACAACATGACCTTTCCCCCACATTTTAAAAACATTTTTCAAAGACATTCAAGGTGGGATCGTCCACTTTCTTCACTCACCGTCACAACATGACCTTTCCCCCACACTTTTTTTTTACATTTTTCTAAGACATTCAAGGTGGGGCCGTCCCCCTTTCAACTCCCCCGCAGGACTGCGGAATGTGCACCCTGCGCAGAACGTCTGGTCCACAAAACTTTCAGAACACGTGGCCCAGAAGCGGACCGCCGCTTTCAAGTCTCCGGCACACGACACCCGCCCCCAGCTCCCCGGGCCTCCTTCCGTACCTACCCCACCGCCGCACCCGGGGCCCCCCAGGCCGCTGTCACTTTCCGAACTTCCGGCGCCCTCTGGGCCACGTGGTGACGTGACGGGGCGTTGTAGCTCGGTTTCCCTGGCGACAGTTGCCGGGGCAGCGCGAGCAGCGTCCGGAAGAGGTGGCCCCGCTGCGGTGGCCCAGACAGCAGGAGCAGAG